GGGGGGGTGCGATGGGTATTTTACACCAGCGACACTGGCAGGAGTTGTCTCACTGCAAAAAACCCTAATCGATATCCCGTATTGCCCCCCACTTCTTCACGCAATCCAGGAAGGTGCCCTGGATGTGCCTGGAGCAGCTGTTATTTCCTACTGTGGTTGCTTTCCAGTTGGCCTCAGTTCTTTTTCTGTACACGCAAGTGTGCATCATATTTTGTTGTGCTGCTAAAAAGTTGCTCAACTCGGATCCTGTTTAGGTCTCTCGTTGCGTGCCTGGGACGAGCGGTGATGGCGCGGCTGGATTTGTGTCGATGAATCCGTCCACTTTTTCTGGCAGCTTTCATCTGAGCAATGCCGGGAGCCCTGGGAACAAGCAGGGCAGTACGTGTCGCATCATCGATATCCTGGACTTCTTTTTCGTTGCGCATCCCAATTCGGGGCGCAAGGAAGGCAGGGAGAATGAGCGGATCTTTTATTACAACAGCCCAAAGAGCGAATCGCTGGAAAAGCAGGTCACTCAACACATGTACTGTTTTTAGAAACGACCGTTCTGGTTCTGAACTGCAACTTCGATGCGTGTTGATCTTTCAGCAAAAAGTCCTAGTGCCTTTAGATCTGCTGAGTGCGCTAACTGCTTTAATGTGAGGCATTTTGCAGACGCAGGTTACGGGATTTGCGGAGGCAGTAGTTAATTTTACCGAAAATTTCACCGAGAAGTGGGACGAGTCCGAATTTTCGCACCGTTATGTGTACACCACCAAGCAGCTGCACGTGTACATTCTGGTCGAGTCGGCCGAATACATCATCGGTGCCGGATTGAACAAGCAAGTGTTGCCTTTCTATTGTTTGCTGTTAGTTTGGTGGCTGTGTGGGCGGTGGGTGCTACTGTACTTGTAAGGTCCCGTCGTTTTACTTTGTTTTGGTTGAAAATTTCCGGCTTATAACTTTTCCCGTTTTGCTGCTGTAAAATCAGTCTGGATTTGGCGCACCATTGCAGGTCAGGCTACAAGAAATTTGAGAGCTAATTTTTTCCCATTCTTTCTTGCCCTGCACAACCAGCTAAAAGTCCAAAAATTTTCAATTTTTGTCTTGCTCGGTTCTGTTGCTAAGCGGGCAGGAAGAACAAGTCGTAGCCTCCCCTCGTAAGCCATTGTATTTTTCCACTTTCAAAAAATCGAGCCATTGTAGGATGTTTCTGCTAACCCGCCTGCTTACAGTACTGGTACTTTTGCCTGGGTAGGCTCAGGGCAGTGATTTAGCCAGGAAAGTGAACAGGGATAAAATTGGGTTTATAAGCCATTTGAATAAGTGATTTTTCAGAGAGCTGAGCGCAAAAGAGAATTATGTTTTGCGTGGATCAGCAATCAGAGCCATACTGATCACCGCCTATAAAATGTTCCGCCTGTTCTTTGGTTCGTTCTCGCGGCTGATGTTAAGCAATCCAGTGCACTTGAAGGATCGTTTGGAATATTTCTTTTCACGTTTCCTACCCCAGTTTCGTTTGCATCGTGTAAGTTAATTCACGTAGCAAAACTCGGCTCATGCGAGTCCTTTCCAAGTGCGGCGTCTGCACGGTTGGACCTGGACAAATTTTGGACTAGTTTTGCATTTGCGTTGTTGAATTAACTTGGGCTTTCTTGTGAAGCATTGCGAATTGGAGACGACATATCATTTTGGCACTGACTTTATCCCAACAGTCATTTTCTGATGCAAATTTTTCCTTGTTTCCGGTGCTATCACGTCCTCTTTTTCGTGTAATTTGTGATTTCTTAATACGTTTTGCGCTGTGTAACAATAGCACAAAACGCATATTTTCATACCCATATCTGTGTGTATGTGTGTGTGTGTGTGTGTGTGTATGTATGTATGTATGTATGTGTGCGAATGCATTTTGTTCCGTACTTTCAACTGATGAATAACAAAAGCTGGGAGGCAGAAATTTTGGTACAATGTTCTTCGCCCACATGCGATTCCGCAATTTAAATCCGGCCTTCTGTGCACCCGAGTATCACGTGTGGCTTGTGAAAACTTTGGCGGGGAAATTTGGCTAGGGAAACACGGTAGTTAGGAAGGTGAAATTTTAAGAATGTCTCCTGCCTAGAAAATTTAAATTCAGTCCTCCGTGCACCTGATTATCACGTGTGGCCTTGTGATGGAAGTTTTGGTGAGGAAAATTATTATATCCGGAACCGGGGAAGCTATTAACAAGAATGTTGTCAAGAAAGCCAGCCAAGCGTGATCAATTTTACATGATCCTCGTTGGATCATGCTTATTAGCTGCGATCGGCTTGCGCTACCCACTTGCTCTGTCATACACGTTATATAAATGCATCGTTTCCTGTTCTTAAGATCATCTTTTCTTATTTTTTTTGTCTTTTCACTCACCGTTCTGCATAGGTAGCTCGTCTACTAACAGTGTCAGTCGCACAGGTTCGTCTGCAACAATCTATACAACAGTCTTCTGTCACATCCTCATTGGAGCAGCCGTGCCTAGCTCAATCGTCGTCGACTAGAACAAAGACTCAACTCTTAAAAAAACCCAGCCAATCTTCATCTCAAATGTTTCCTCCTCGCGTGCGACCCCGCAGATTCAAATTCAGCTTTCACCTATACCTGGGTCTCCTATGCGGCCCCGCGAAAGTTCTGGCGGGGAAAATTGTTATCTCGGGGACCAGAACGACTGTGGGGCTGAAATTTCAGGAGGATGTTTTTTTGCCTTTGCAGAGATCTCACAAGCTCAAACTTAGCTCCTAAGTATGCCGGAGAGTCTTGGTACGAAAGTAATTAGTACGGACGCCCGAAAACTAGAATTTTGCTGCACGTCAGTGTAACGAACATGTGCTGCAGATGCCTTTGCTGGATCTCTTCTCCGGTATTGATTTTCTGTCGCTGGATAGCACGAACTATTTGCGAATTGAGAATTTCTTGGATCAGTTAGCGGAGGAATTCCCACAAATTTCGAAAACAGCATTCTTTTATCGAGAGCGCCTGATTACCCATACCGTTTCCAAGACTGATTTACCTGTACTTATTCGATACCTCACCCAGAACCTTCTCAACAAATCACTAAAGGAAGAGTTGCAGCCTGAAAAAGTTCGCAACTATATGTGAGTGCTTCAGTCTTTTCCATTATTCAGTTTAATTGCATGAGGAAATCAGTTCCATCCTCATCAAAGAAGCTTTCAGTAGAAAGGCTGGAAACAGAAACATTGCCAGCTGGGCCCTTCAGTCTTAAATTCTTTACTGCACTTCGCCGTGTCTGAGGGATAGAATCTATAACTCAAATATTTCGCTTCCCGAGCAGAAAAAATCGTGACTGCCAGGCTTGGGAAGAAAGTGGACAGTACTCGAGTTGGTTTTTGTGCTGCCCTCGCGTGTTATTGCTTTTATGAAGCACTTTTTACTGATTTAAAAAGATGTTGTCTGTAGCTGCCATTCAACGTGATACTATTCTAGCCAGCCATCACGTCGCTTTCAAATTAGATGTTTTATATTGGTCAGGAAAGACATAAACATATCCAGTAATGGATGTACCTGGCGGAAAGACAGATGTTTTCGTTCTTTCAGGAAGGAATCCGGTCATCATGGAAAATTTCTAACGGGCCCAATGGTTTCAGCAAAAAATTTGTCACAAAACGATAAATATGATGTGAGATTGCCAATCGTTTATCTCTGCGATGATACTAACAATGAACGGAGACTTGTGCCTTATGAGCTGGTAAGGTTCGTTTTGTTTGAGAGTTCTTTTTCAGAGGTTGTTTTGGGAAACGTTAGCGCCAAGTATGTGTTTGTCTGCGTGTACCTGATGTGCTGTATATCTGTCTGTGGCGCCATTTCTACAGTACACTGGAAAATTGTCTGTGATGTGCAGTTGATGATGCGGAGACTCGTTTTACTTACTGGTTGGTTGGTCGGTTAAACGGACAAGGATTTACCTCGTTTTTAGCTTGCCTTCGGGAATAAAGAAGCAGTCGACTGTTCTGCAGCAAGCAGTTGCTGGTAAAAAGTTTTTGCAAACACTTTCGCGTTTCTGGAGACTGAAATTTCGAAGAGATTTCTGGTTTGCAAAAGGACTTATTTCTCATCTAGAGCATCTAACATTAATTCATCGTCTTTAGTGGTAGCGAATTTCAGCTAACTTTGAATGTATCTGCGCACTCGAATGAGACATCAGATTATCTTCCCAGAAAATCCTTAAAATCCGAAGCAAATTTTTGACTGACCAGCCTTTTGTGCTATCAGAGAGTTTGATTAATTTTTAATTTGATTGCTATCAGAGAATTTCAAGAGTAACGACCCACCAAAATTTCGGCTCCTTTTTTACAAAATGACGCCCAGCTTTTACTGCTGGTGTGGACAAAACATTTTTTTACTTACTTATTCGCTTTTTAACTCAACTCAGCATTTTAACTGATTTTAATCAGTGAAAATGCTAAACTGCGTTAAAAAGCGAGTGACCTCAATTTCTTGCTCCCTTCCCGTGCTTTTTTTAAATGCTCCATTCCATCACAGTATTGTTAACTTATGCAATTCCAGGTCGTCTATCGTGCCTTAAACGCCACAGTATGCCTCTTCTTGCAAAAAAGTGCAGATCTAGCATTTTTACAACGGTTGGACAATTATCTTGGACCGGAACTGAGTGTGATCGCATCTGTTATTGGTGAATCCTACGGTACTCTGAACGATATCTCATCATTGAAAGAAAAGGACTTCCATTTTCTTTATTTCAATCCTGAAAGTTTGAGTCTCAAGACCAGTTTTGTTGAAAATATCGATTCAAGCCGGAGCCAGAATCTGTCATCGCTACCTACATCTGTGTACAAGTAAGCTCATTGTCAGTACTAAAAACTGTATATGAGAAACTGTTGCTTTATTGTTTCACTGCTTCAGCGACAGAAAGAGCGCGAACGAGAACCTTCGCAGGCTTGATTTGAGCACTTCTAAGATACCAGCTTAATCCGCCTTTTGTATCAGTGAGTCATGTCTTGCAGAACAGTGAGAAATAAGTTTGTTTTTTTCCTTTAGGAAGTGAGTGACGGGCTTTGCCTTATGGCTTTTATAAGCTTTTGTAGATTGATTTGCGATACTTTCGATGATTTTTTGGAAAAAGAAGATTTTGGTGAAACTACAACGAGGCTCGATGCTGACTGGTGGCTTATCATCAAAAAAGTAAACAAACGTTTCCTGCTGCTTGTACTGAGAAGCAATACACTCACTACGCCAGCCGATTTGCAGCAGCACGTGAATGATATCATCAGATTGAACTTCAATACGATATTTTTGTTTTAATTTGTAAAATTCTGTTCAACTAAGCTTTTTAAAAAACGATAAGATCGATGCTGTTGATGATGGCAGCATCAAAATACTGGTTTTTAAAAATTACTGTAGCTGACTAAAGTGATCGCATCGGAACAGGGGGCTGTTAAAGCTCCCCGAAGAATTCCAAACTTTTTTGCCCATTAGCTGGCCTTTTGGTCACTTAGTGAATTGCTCGCACTTTGGTTGCTATTGTTCCATGCTGTGTTGGGCGGATTCGATCTGGGAATAAACCAGACCGCTTCTGATCTTGCGCATTGTGGTGTCTGTTACTTGTACAGGTATGAAGCATTTATCCTGAAATCGAACAGGCGAAAGTGAGTAATCATTATTTTGAAGAAGTTGGCAGAAGAGGATGCATCAGGGGAAAGAATGCAACACGGGCTGAGAACATATAGTGCTAAAGGCGATGTAAAAGACTTCAGTACGTTAACCCTATTGAGTGCGAGAATTCAATACGTTAATCCTTTTCTATACCTAGAAGGAAGGTGCAGACATTAGACGGAAGCTAAGAACAGCAGCCCAAGGCAACAGGACCTGTTGTAGCTATTGCCTGCCATTCAGCTGCATCTCAGAAGTGAAGGGTGCAGTCATGGTTTTACAAGTTACCATTTTCGGATACATTTTTATCCGCTTTTACAACAACTACGCGGCTATTTCCAATGGCGTTTTAGTTAAAACTTGATCCATCCAAGGTCACTTTGTACTCTGTAGGGGACATTCGCGCCTCTGAAAAAATTTCCACCGCTTTGATCAGCTTCTTTTCCTTCCATTTGGATCATGCGTATATTAACCAACTTTTCTGCACTTTTTTTACAAGTACAAACAATTTTGCGGTCGCTTTCTGGGTGGATGGGGGCGTCCGCGCTCTTACTACTGACCTACTACACAGATTAAAATAAATAGCAACGTACACCAGACTAGCCGGTGCGATCATGCGTTTTGTGCAATTTAGCCCATCGAACGATTGCCTATTAATTATTTTCACTCCTTTGTACTTTTGTCTATGCAAAAATAGTTCAAACATAGGAAAATAGTTAAAAATTTCACGCCCCAGCGCATGAAAGCTGAATTCGAAACCTTGAAGGGGAATGTCTTTCCATGATTCTCGAGTTAATAGTTTACCCGCCAAAATTTTCACGAGGCCCGTAGGTAATACTAAAGAACGCGGGAACGCTGAATTTGAGTGGGCAAGGTTGAGTGTGGGCAGGGGATCATTACCCTGAAACTTCAGCCTCCTAGACTCCGTGGTTCCTGAGATATTAATTTACCCGTAAAAAACTTTCACGGGGCCGTACGTGTTACCCGTGGGTACGGGAAGACTAAATTTAAATTTGCCGCGTCACCCGTTGGAGTGGAACACTATACCAGAACTTCAGCCATCTAGCTTTTGTGATTCCCGATTTGAAATTGGAACAAAATGTGGGACACACACAGACAACCCCGTGACAGTATGCGTTTTGTAACGCTGTTACACAGCACAAAATGCATAATAATGCAAGCAGCGATAACGACAAAATTTACACTGGAGGTCAGTGTTGAGGGGATGAAATTCGTGCGGTCAATCAATTTTTTTTTAAGAGGTACATACTGTATATTAGCGCACCAGGTTTGCCGGTGCGATCATGCGTTTTTGGTCAGTTTCCTGCAGATGTTTAGTGCTGTGCTATTCTGCTGTTTTTAATGTTTTTCTTTTAACTCACATTTTAAAATCTTAACAATTAAGCAGAATCGTGAGATTTCTGGAAAAAACCGCCGGTGGTTTGTGAAAATACCTGAAATAGAAAGCTCTTCGAGCTACAAGCTGCTTTTTTTTTTAAATGGGGAGTATTATTGTCTTTCTTTCTACTAATATATTCTTCCAGCTATCACTTGGGCCATTTAGGCTCGGTGGTAGCCTGAGATACAACTGGATGCCACGCAATAACTATGACAGGTTTTGTTGCCTCGGCTGCTTTCTTGGCTTCTGCCTACCGTCTGCGCTGCGCATACATGTTCCTTGGAAAGTGCCCAAGTGACTTTTGGATACCAGTGCGATATTCATGGCCAAAAGTAAGTCGAACAACGTGTCGAGCGGATGCTCTGCATAGTTACTACAACATTTAAAACAGCCTTTCCGACGGAGAATGTTACTGCTTGCATGGCACGAAGAACTCGGAGCCTACTTGAGGGTACTGAATGAAAAAAATAATTGGCCAACGCAGCGGCTGCCGGTGTGAAGATGCGTTTTTTGCATAGTTCCTCGAAATTTTTGTCGCTACTGGCGCCGGTTTTTCCAACAAATGCTTCCAGCTAAACAAATTAAGAGTGGCCGCCAGAACTGTCAGAAAACATCAACTTAAAATTTCAGCTTTCTAGCTTTCCTGACTCCCGAGTTGGCAACTTACTCGAAAAAACTCCCGCGGGCCCGCACGCGGATACCACGCATACCCGGTGTTTGGATTTGAGCTCATTAATACCTACTTGGATGGGGAACATCCGCTTACCTCAGGTCCCCGAGTTAGCAACTTACCCGAAAAAAAATTTCATGGCCCTGTACGTAGGTACCACGCGTACCCGGTGTCTGGGTTTGAGCTCATTGAGACATACGTGGACAGGGGACGTCCCTTAAAATTACAGCCTTCTAACTTTTCAGTTTTCCCAGTTAGCAACTTACCCGGAAAAATTTTCACCGGCCCGTACGTGGGCACCACGCATCCACGGTATCTGGGTTTAAGCTCACTGAGTCTTACGCGAACGGAGAGCATCCCCTTAAAATTTCAACCTTCAAGCTCTTCTGGTTCCCGAGTTCGCAATATACCCGCAAAAAACTTTCACGGGCCCACACATGGGTACCACGCGGGTAAGAGCGCCCGTTTTAGAGATTGGAACCCGTACGTGCATGCAGATTAAGTTCCCAAAGTTTCAGCCCTGTAGCTTTTGTAGGTTTTGAGATGAAAAGCCGTGACAGACACACAGACGCACAGACACACACACACACACAGTCAACCCCTCGTCAATATGCGTTTTCTGCATTGCATAGATGCAAAAAACGCATAAAAATGCCATCTTTCCGTCAGCGCAGAGTAACTGCCAAACTGTCCATTTAGGCAAAAAATGCACTGAAGCTGGGCAGGCCCACTGAAGAAGCTGGAAACAGATGTTTTAGGAAAGCGAGCGGAAATGTTACTAAATGGTTAGCGAGATTTCGCCAAATCGTACAGAATATATTTTTCACGGGCTGAATTATCCAGGAAGTGAAAATTTTGGCCTGGGAGGCAGGAAATTGTGCAAAAGTGTATGGGAGAGTTAGCCGGAAACACAATTTTTCTCAAGAAAAAATATACAAGTTAACTATGAAATGTTAAATGGCGTTGCTCAGTGGAAAAAAAAAGTTTACAAGAATTTAGCGCTTGAGTACAAAAGAAAGGATTCTACACGATGAGCAGAAACAGGAAAGATGAACGAGACTGAGATAACTTCTTCGAACTTGGATATGCTGGCACTCCGGTAACCCCGTCAGTCCGCCATCCAACCGATCACAGCTGGTCTTTCTTCGTCCACTTTTTCCAATAAATACGTTTCGCATCCGTGCCTAAGCAACTTTTCTGCAGGCTTGGTACAAATGTACCTCTCTGTTTTTCGTGCCTATGTAAGTAAACTTCCCCTACAGTTTTTGCAAACGTTTGAATGTGTGTTAATGCAGGACCAGTTATGGAAAAGGCTAGATGCATATTTTGACTAGGAGGGGTCGTTTTTAATAACTGAATTAAGTTTTTAACCAACCTGTCGTAGTCTAAGTGCTTAATACCGCTAGAAGGGGTGTCGCTAGTTCTCTTTTTAGAAGAAAACAAATCAAAGAATTTAAATTAAGGGAAAATCATAAATTTAAGAAGCGCTGAAACGCCTAAGGCTACCACTCATCCTTACTGCTGTGGAAGTTCCAGCATTTTCATCAAAATATTATCAATATTTTTGATCACAGCAAGCACATCTTTTTCTAGCGTGCCGTTCGCACCGTGTGTCTGCCGGATTTCCTGAAACAGAAACTTTGAAGATCAACTCAAAAGAGTTATGTAATAAAGAGTTTAATGCAGCCAACCAATAGTGAAAGCACACGCGGTTGACATATTTTCGGAAATAGTTAAGTCTAAACAACATCAGAAAAAACAGACTGAAACTGTATTTCGGCTCCCGAAGAGGGCAGTATGTTTCATGGGGTCCTTACGATTCTAATCCCAAGTGAACATCTGTTGTACAAAAGCCGTCATTGTTATGGTGGCAAAGTGAAAATATGACGTATCTGAGGCTGCGACAGCTAAAAATAATTGGCCAACGCATGGGCTACCCGTGCGAAGATGCGTTTTTCGCATGGTTCCCCGCAGTTTTCGTTGCTACCGGCATCTGTTTTTTTCGGCAAAAGCTTCTAGCTAAACAAATTAAGACTGGCCGCCAGAAATGTCAGAAAACATTCCCTTAAAATTTCAG